GTGGGTCCTGAGCCGTGCGATGTGCCCGCTGAAAAAAAAAACATAGACCAAAAACCAAATAAGTAAGAAGTACTGAACTGAACGCGGGTATCACCTATGAGGAGCCGACCCTGCAATTTTGTCCGGCCCCAGGGTGTTAGTTGGCGTATTAGCAGGAGCAAGGCCAAACAAACCCGGGGGTAAATCTGAATTTTGTGTGTGCGCGCAAGTACTCGACGTGTAAACAGAAAAAAATTAGACTCTTGGTGACGTCCAGTGGACAACGACACAAGGACTGCGCTTCTGGTAATGGACACAAGGGTGGGCGGTGCAGAAAACTTTTTGAGTAGAGCGTCAGCGTGTAATTTGGCTTTTTAGAGCAAATAGTCTACTAAAAAAGCATTTCCAACTGTAACGCCAACAGCGGGATCACTGAAGGATGAGTATTATCAATATCGATAAGAGAAGCAGTTGATGAACCGGGACTGTGGTTTGCACTCCTCAGAAGTTGCCACAGTAATGCTTCTCAAGTACCGAATGCTCCCTAGTATGCAACGACCTGCAAAGAAAGTGAGCAGAAGATCGAAGACAGAAAGGAGCACTAGTATTACGCCAAGCGATCAAGCCAAATCAGTGAACACTACTTGCACGAGTATGTTCATAAAAGATTAAAGTCAGCATTAGTCTGCAGGATTGTCTAATCAATTAGATATCAGAAGCCAATTAATCACAGGAAGTTTGCATTTGGGTAGACTGGTAGCATGGCATGTTCCCCATATTTTTTCTCCAGTATTACAATGTACAAATGCCGGAGGGTCAGATGTACTTTCTGTCGTTAATGTTGCTCAAGCCGAGATATCATCGTATATTTACGTCTTGTGTGAGTCCCGAGGAAGATAATGAAGCACAGCTCCAGTATCAAGCCGATCTCATAAAGGCTCTAGACGATCGGGCCGAAAAAGAACGCGAACAGTTCCGTTGTAGGCGAACCCACAGCTCAAATGTTACAAGTCGGCTCAAAGGGAGGAAGTGTTAGGAGCCGCCCTAACACTTTCAAATAGAAAAAAATATTCTGACTGATAATACCAACAAATATAGGGGATAAATAGGCGAACATACGTTTTTTTTTCGATAAATTCTCGTCAGGCCTTTACATTTTATATGGTTATGAAATAAATAAACTATGCTGGTTGTTGGACAATTGTAGTGTTACTGTTGTCAGGGTCGGTGAGGGAGGGGAAGGGAAGGGGGATGGTGGAGGGCTGAGGAAGTTGCGGTCAGAATGTCAATGCGTAGACGGACCAGCGTCCAAGACAGATGATAAAGTGTGCGTGGTCGGATTTGGGACTTGTTCATCTCTGCGGGGACCCGTTTTCGAGGCCAGCGATCCGTCCTGTGCGTTCATGTTAGCTAGTTTCGCCCATTGTAACTGCGGCGCCGCGACGAAATTCTTTTGGGCGCACAGGATCGGTCGGCG